AGAATTGTTCTTTTATCCATCTAAAAATTATTTATTCATATACACATGACTATTTGAAAATTTGAAAGGAAGAATTCTCAAGAGAATCATCACATGGTCTGAAATGGGCCAACAAACCGCCCAGTCGAAAGAGGTCTGTTGTCAACAAATTCAAAGCAGACTGAAAACACTACGTTTATCAAAAACAAAAAAAACAGTGCGAGTATAATATCACGGCAAACAAAACCAACAAAGAGTGTGCGCTAGCATGAAAATATATACATGTATATTCTTCGTTCTTTAAATGTGAAACTAAAAGACAGCATTTTATATCTAATAGGGCTTCGTAATTAAAATTGAAAGACCTACAAAACTAGACTTGCAGAAAAGTCCTTCGTCTTGTTTATTTACTACCCGCCTCGCGGCCTAAAAGTCGCAGCTCGCTTCGCTCCACTTGCTATTCTACCCTGAAAATCATGAGGTCCACTTGTAGCAAGTCTACTACAAAACTTACAAATGGCAAATTTTCTAATTTTAGTTATTTATTTATATTATAAAATTTCAAAAACAGTTGACAAAGATTTCCTCGGATCTCTCGCCCTAATGTGTTCATTGGCCTGTGCCTTTGTTTTGGGTCGTTAATTGGTCACATAGATTTTCTTTACATCATTCAAATATACATATATCTCCACGTAAATTCGGCCAAATATGTAGAAAACAGAGGTTTTCTGACTCCATATTTAGGTAGATTTAGTCTGCAAATTTAGTCTTCTTGTCATTTTCATGTAGTCACCTAATAAATGAAATGATACAGCCATAAGGTGCGTCTGTTCGAAATATTTTAATGAAAAGCCCTTTAAAATAACTAACCTACCCTTTCATATGTCTCAACTTGTGAAATCCCTACCCTTCTATATACCTGAGGCCTAAAAAAGGTGCCCCTTTTATGCAGGCTGAGCCTCCCTTTATAGGTCATTGTAGGGAGTAACCCTCGGACGAATTTTAGTCTCAAGGACCCGGGCTGAAGGACACCAGTGAAGGTTTGGAGTAACCTTACGACCTTAACCGTTACAATAAAATTCCAGCGAGTTTTAGTTTCACTATCTGATAGACGCAAAACACCACAGAAACACGAGTAGCACACACTGACAGAGTAGAAGTACGACTTTCTTAGTGTGTTTCCTTTCCATATTTCGAACTGCTATAACAGGGATTGCGGAGCGTATTTTGAATTGTGGGGCTTACAAGCGAGCTCTTAATTGCTTTTTTACGTTTCAGATGGGTTTTTAATTATCTTATGCATTTTTTTGCTCGAAATTGGGGGGCTAAAGCCTCCCGCCGTCCCTGTGTAAACGGTCGTTCACCACATTCTCATAACAAACTCTTAGATTTACGCTGTGTTAAGGTCCGGTAATACGGGCAACATTTTCCTTCAACTTGTCTCGCAACATTGTTGCTTTGCAAGTTGAAACACATTGTTGCGCGTATTACCACGTTTGTGACCAACTTGTCTCGCAGCAAAATACAG